AGCCTGTTAAATGCTAATGAAGCCAAGGAGCTTTTTACTTCCAAACTACTGTTTTCTTTCCCTGGGAAATTTTATCTGTAATAAAAAAGCACCTTTGCAGAGGCTGTAATGGGTTGTTTAAAAGCAAAGAAACAAACAAAAAAAAACAAACAAGAAAACCCCCATACAAATCCTGAGAGAAAAGCCATGAGAAGAATTAAATGTTTGTGCCATCAGGGCATTAAAAACAAAAATACAAAGTGTGCTATATTTAAATTAACTTTAATAGGAAGTACAAAAAGATAATGTTAAGCAATATTTTGCATGTGATTAATAAATATTCTTCAATAGCAAGCAAAGTGACACATTCAAACATAAATCCAGTTATTTCTTTTACATTTTAGAAAAGTAACAAGTTTTTCCAGTTAAAACAAGGTCACAAATTACAGAATATTATCATCGTCTTTAATTATTTGTAACTATGAAACCTACTAAATAAGTGATCTTTCACCCAGAAGTTTTTATATGACATTGATGTTCAAGGTTAAGAATACTTACATTTATCATGCAGTTTCTTATTTGTATATTTGGTGTTCAGTTTTCTTTAGAATTATTGGCTCCATTCTTCCTTTTTCTGTTATCTCTTGTTAATACACTGGAAACACGTATTTTCATACTCCCATACATTTTCACATCTAAGTGACTCACTAAAATAAATTTGTTATTCAATATATAAATGTTTTTCTGACCACAGTCCAGCTGAGAAATTGTTAATGTCTGAATCAGACTCCACAATATTTTTATTATTTTTCTTTAATCAAGATTTATTCTAATCACTTTCATTAAAATTAAAGTGCTTTTAAAGTTTTCCTAATAAAGTGACTATGCTGGAAGGTAGAGGGTGAAGGAATGCTTATGAACTCATTTTTTAACAGTTTATAGAGACGGTGAATATTGTATGTGTGTATTCGAATAGATGTAAAGTACAAGATTGCATTCCATGCTAATGCTAAGCTATATTAGCCTATAAACTGATAAATTCAGCAAAAAATGAATACCTACTAAAGAATATCAAAAGCAATTGATCAAAGCTATCTCTTGTTCCATACTCTCCATACCCAACAGAATAAATAGATGGATGAAACACTGGAAAAGAAATACACTTCAACTTGTTGAATCTTACCTCTTTGTGCATCAGATGAATGCAAGTACTCAGAGCAATCATTAAACATCTTGAATGCATAAACACATGCTCCAGGCAACTTGATCAAGTGAAGAATTCTTATATAAGGATTTTAAATTTGAAAACAGAATAATTTAAATAATACAACAATATAAATATATTCATATATATTTATGTAGACACCAACACTAGAGGAAGAGTGTACATAATCTTGCATATTTTAAAACATCCTCCAAATTCATTTTTGAGAGCGTTAGCACCCACTTCTAACTCACAGCACTTTCAAAATACTCTTAAAAGGCATTAAAATGTGCCATGGCTAAAACTGACATCAATTCTCATATTTTAGTATGGTTGGCTCCTCTAAAATTTTTCTTGGGTTAAAGAACTCTCTATCCAAACAAGGGCCCAAGTGTACTCCAAGGCGTATTGGCCTTCTGGAAAAACAACTTAGTGACTGCAGTGATATAAAGGAATATGCTTGGAATCCTAATCAGTTTCCTTTAAATTCAGCCCAAGTTTTGCTCTGATCTCATTCAAAGAGATCAAACCCTCAAAGCTTAGCCTCCCCCAGCAAGACCTGATTAGGTCTTACTGAGTACAAGAATTCACCTAGAGAGATCTAAACCTAGAAGAAGGAAAATTAAATGGAGTAGAGGAAAATAACCTTTTCTATACTTAACGTATGCCATTCAATGAAAAAAACTTTTGAGACTTTAACTTGAATTTAACTACTGAAGTTCTAAAGTGAAGACGACATGGATTTTCAGAAGGCTGGAACTAATATTAGAATTCATAATAGCAGAATTAAAAGTTCTGGTTGGTAGGGAGTTTGGGTTACCTACAGAAATGAAGTAAGGAAGGATCCCAGGACTAGAAAAAAGTATAAAAGAAGGAAATGTTAAAGGGATGCTTAAGGTTATATTGCAAATTGACAGCATTCTAGCTAAAGATATATTGTCATTTTGAAGGGGTGGTAGGAATCACGAAAATCTACTTTCTAAAAAACCACCCACTTTATTGGAGGCTGTAGTGTGACATGCCTTTTTTTTTTTTTTTTTTCTTATTTTAATGTTTCAAGGTAAATTTTACCACTTTCAGAGATTCTATTTAGATTTGTTCAGACAATTGCATTTTTATCACACTCTGCTTTTGTTTTGTTTTGATTTTTGTTTTAATGAAACCATTTAACTTTTGTGGTTCATTTTTTGAATGTTATCTTACTCTGTTTCAAAACTCACTGTATTTCCCTACTTACTTTAGCATTCTGTGTTTGCACGTAATGAGCTGACCTGTTCACGTCCATACTGAAGTTCGCTTTCATTTAAATCTACCAGGAATGGACAGAAGTATAAATTTTATTTGTTTTATAAAAAGCAAAAACAAGAACTTGTGCCCTACTGACTTTTCAGAATAGGAATGAGAAGTGTGGAGAATAAATATTGGCTATCTGTGCATAAGTGAGTCACACCACTTAAGCAAATAAAGCCTGGTATTAACAAATTTCTACTTTACTCCAGAAGCTTCTTTCCTCCTTCTGCCTTAGTTCTCAGAAATTGCAGAAAACACACAAGATTTTGCATGTTTTTCAAGCAGTCAGTAGAAGCCTCTCCATTTCAAAGGCACAAATCATTTCCCTCAAGTTCAGCAGAATTATATGTGAAGTATTTCAATTTTATGCTCTAAAAGTTACTTTCTCTTAATTCACATGTAACAATGAAAGCTGAGAACTGAACCTGAATAAAAATATACATTACCTTCTTCAATAATTTCTTCATCAATCATCTTACAATCCACAGACACAGTAACACTGCCATTTTCTTCTCTTTAACCCTTTCCTCCTCAATATATCCATACCTTCCTCCAGCTGCTGCTGGTTGTTTTCACACAGGTAAAAGTCAGCCCACTTTAAGCCTCACCACCCCATGTTATCTATAACCACAGGGAAGAGAAGGTGATTTGGTAACGTTCCTGTCTGGTGACTATTGAAGCTCTTTTGTTCTCTCTCCCATGACTATAAAGGCAGACCAGCTCCTTAATTTAGTATAATATTCAGTGGTATGAGTAGTCTCCCAAGCTAAAGCTCCTATCTCACAGCACCTACTGTAACACCTTTTTAAGATATTCAGTAATGCAGCAGTTAAGAGTTGATTTGCCCAGATATAGAAAGTAAACTTCATTGGCTACAACACGATCAAAAATTCTGGAAGCTCCTGTTTTAAAAGCAATCTGTTAGGAAGCCTCCAGCAGACAACCCTGGCTGATAAACCCTGCTGATCTCTATATTCTTCATGCTGACATATAAATTACTGTTAAATTACTGACCGCATGCATCCAGAATTACTTCCAGTACTACACTAGAAATTTATTCTATTAACCTTGTTCAGATTTAAGATAATTCCAATCCGCGTTTACTGCAATATTGTACCATTTCATTTATCTATTTTTTCCTTAAGTTACATTAAAAAAATGATATGACACTGATCCAAGAATAACAGGAAAAATAAACTAGCATGTTAATCAGAATTTCACAGGTAGATTCCATGTGCAAGTCTCGGGTACTAGTGACCTGCATTTATTCACTCATGCCCTCTAAGTATTTAATATCAGCAAGTCTTATTTGAAATAAAAGAAGATTTCATGTGATTGGCACATGCATTTCTGAAACAAGCTTTAAATTCACATACACAGAAGTTATACCATTAAATGGAAAGAAGGCCTATATTCACTGTTCCCTGCATGATGCCTACATTCACTTAGCCGGCTGTTAGTCCTACAAGATTGCAATTTATGTGTAATCAATTTACTTATTTTCAATAATTCAGTAGTGAAATAATAAAGCAGACTCTTCTCCCACATGATACTGCTTGAATGCAAACCAACTAAACTAAATGTGAAAATGAACCTTTTATGTAGTTTATACACTCTAAAACCACGCTGAAGCCCACAGGAACTGCATGTGGCTATTTAACATGGTTAACTGAGTGAATTTATATAATCAGCCTGTTTTTCTATATTAGTGTGTGAAGTAAAAGTATTTTCAGTATATGATAAATGCCTCTTCTTTTACTTGATTGTCTCTAGATATAAGACAGAGAGAAAACGGTCAGTGAATGAAGAAACAATTGTACCGAATAGAAGCAGTGGTAGCAGAGCTGGCTGATATGAGACAGCACCAGGCTTCTTGTGCAAACTGAAGAAATGCTTTTTACATGCAGCTGAAAATTACACAGATGTTATTTATCAGAAAAAAAAAAAAAAAGGACTTGTACAGGTAAAAGCATTTGAGGGTATCTGTTCTAAGAACACAAAATCCTTCCAAAATCCTTCCTTATTAGGTAACCCAACATGTGACTGAGTACAGGCATGTTTGCAGTGGGGAGAGTTTTGACTACATGGTATCATCCACAGAGAAATGCAGATTATTTGAACACTGTGAAGGGTGAAACACAAACTTCTCTTTCTCAAAGCCCAGTCAGTGAGGTTCAGAGAGTCCTTACATCTTGCTGGCATGAACTGAAGGTAAGAACTCTCACTAGGTCACAGAAAGACCTCAGCTACAGAAAACATAATCTAGCTACTCAAGTCCAAGAGCAGTTAAGCATGGGCCTCCATTAAACTATACAGTCAGAGCCCTTTGCCAAAAACAGAGTTAAAAGTGAAGGGGATTTTATACAGTTCTAATATTTACAATTATTTGTACATATGTACATATTTATATATTTATTCATACCTGGACAATGTGACAATAAAGGGATAATTAATAATTACAAATAAAACATTTTAAAAATGTATAGCTATATCATGAAAGAAACCTCTTTTATTGCTTGCCTTCCAGCCTTATGCTTATAATCACACTATTGCACACATCTCCATATTACATGGAAGATCTACATTTATATATAGATATATGAAAATAAGGATATTTTTATTTTAATGAGTAAAGTGCTCTTTAACTACTGTTGATGAAAAAGGCTTAATCTGAAAGTTTAATCAGAGGGACTTAAAGGGGTACACACCTTGTCCATAATTCTCCCTTTATTTTGCTGACTTCTTTATTTTGCTGATGTTAACTCTCTTAACTATTCATTCTATTCATAAAATGCATCTGTGACCTTGGCATCTATACAGTCACACAAAGTACAAAACAGAATCACATTAAAAGCAAAGAAAATGCAAGAAAATAAAACAACAAATAAAAGCAGTGTTTCTTTTTGTTGTTTTTAGCACATTTCCATGTCTTAAGATACTCTTTTATTTGATTTTAGAAATATTTTTACAACTTTATTAAACTCTGAACATACCTATTTTATGCACTATACTCAAGTACTGTACAAAACTGCAATAAATGACACTATACGACTACATATGTCTACTAGAAGACATCATCATAAAGGTGTATCTTTTTCTAACGGTCAACTAATAACTGCTAACGTATGTGTGAATCAAAATATTTTTGATTGGCTACATATACTAAATTCTAAATGGAGTACACGATTACTACTTACGTCATGATTTACCAGGCCTTTAGGGGCATAAAGAATCTTTGCAAAGGCTCAGATGAAAAACAATTTACTGATCAGTATTAAATGTTCATATAAAATTGCAAGTGGCAGATCCAATTCTGTTATATTCATATATATGAAATACAGGTGATACCTACTGATGATGCATGACCTTTTATTAGAAAAATAACATTCAAATCTTAGCAAAACCATTTCTAGTATACAAAGTTGTTGTAAATTTATGTCAGCGAAATGTAAATTTGCAATTTACAAAAGCAGCAGTAAATTTTATTCATATGGACAGTTTCCTGAACTTAAATCATGAATTTTTGTTTCCTGCGAAAACATTGCTTCCTGGGAAAAATGCAGGCAAATCCTTTAATGGCAGATTTTTTAATAACACTGAGCAAGGAAAAGAATGTATTATGTTACTGATATACTTAACCTTGAAAAATTTCTGAGTGCTTTTATGAAACTGACAATAATCTGACTAAGAATAAAGTCAAGAAGCAGAAAAATCAAGAAACAGAAAAATCCAACTTTGCTAAACCAGGTTGTCTGGCTCAACAACGTCAAATTAAGAAAACAGTAAAGAGTGAAAGTTGATTAATATTAGAAATCTGATCAACGCTTCTCTGTGAAATAAACTGTAGTAGTTTATTAACAACTTCAAACAGGACAGAAGTAAGAAACTTGTGGCTTTTGCAATATAGTAGCCTTTACTACCTCCTCAGCCTATGTAGTATCCAGAATTATTGTGAACAGAACTGTACGACCTCCGTACTCTTATGTACATGGGTACTGCTATTGTATGAAACAATTACACTCTTAAAAAAATCATTTTTAAATGACAATTCATTTCATTAAAGTAGAATTAGTTATTTATAGAAAAATATTTTAACTTTAAATTAAAAAAATACTGTTCCTAAATAATTATGTAGGATCATATCTTTATTTCTTTGTACGGAGAGAATATAATTCTGTATATTTGAATCCTAGTTTAACAGAGCTCCCCTGGGTATAACTTTTAAAGAGTTGGCTATTTTTGCCATGGGTGCTATCTGTTTACAAACCCATGAATTAACACTGTGTCCCTCCTTTGGAGATACACAGATAAGACATCTATATACACTCTGTACATAATGGTTCACATATTAGCAGTTATTAGTCGTACTGTACATAGAGGACAACCTATCTGATTAGAATGATGTTTTAAGTCCTTAGTGCAATTCAGGTTTTAGGTTGATGGTGCAAAGCCAAGTAAGACAGGCTCTCTGTTTAAATAGGTAGCCCAGTACACTAAATTGAAAGTACCAAATAAGACTGGAAACACTATTCTAGACATTCTGTCAATTTTACTAACACTGTTGAATGTCTTCTTTGCTTCCTGTGGCTTTGCTTCTGGTTTTGCCTTGTTGGGTTCTGCAGTTGTAGCGCTCTTGGAGATGGTTGGTAGAACTGAGTCCTTGGTAATATTTGGAGCATAGTTGGCAACAGCCACTGCATAGGCATTGTTTTTCTTAATGACAGATGCTTTTTCTTTTTTCTATTAGAGACAGCACGAAATTAAATAGTTAATGTGTATTTGCCATATCAGACTTATCATAATAAAAATTGCAAACGCAAAACAAACAACAAATATATTAAAATAAATGTCAGAAATAACAGTGGTAAATTCAAATTTAAAGAAAAACATATCCTACCTGAAAAGAAGGTTATAATATGTCACCCCCAATAATTTCACTAACAGTCTACATTTTTAAGCTATTATGTATTGTTCTTCATGCATTCAAAATACTGAGAAACCATTAGTAAATTAAACTTCACCTGTACTGCTATAATTTGAGAAGCAAAAAATTAGTATATCCTAATTTTAGGATACAAGTAAGAGTACTCTTTGTCAAAAGAATTGCTTTTCCTTTAGTAGCATTAGGGATTGGGATAGGACAAAATTATTTAATCAATCAGAACAGTCTGCTTTAACATTTTTTTTCCTGTGACACTAAAGTGATAAACTATAAATTTGACAAAATATAAATACAAATTTAGGAGTATTACCAGTTAATTTTATTCAGCAAGTAAGAAGTTATGTCTGCTTAAAATTTCTACATGTTGTCACATCCACCTTACTATCAATACCAGAAAATTAAGGCATGTCTGTGATTCCGTGCACTCTTTATAATGAAGTGATCAAAATTTTGTAGAACAGCTGTTTAAATTAAAAGTTAATGTTTATATAACATTAGGGATAAATTTCAGAATTCTGAAAAACTTCCAATCTTCTAGATAAATTAGATGTTATTAATAGTTTTTATGTGTAGTTGTATTCAGCTGCTTTTCTGATCCTTACTGACAAGGAAAATTAATATACATAATATCTTCCTCTAATATTCTTCTCTTCTTCAAATCAACTGGATTAAATAATAATAAAGTTGTCAACTAATATCATATGGATTAAATTTTCTGAATAACTGGAGAAAGAGTTTTATCTGAGGAGTCATTCAATAAATTAGATAGCTCCCAATATAAAAAAAACAAACAAACATGTATGAGATAACTAAATCTGGATTATTGACACCAAACAACATTAGCTATACTTAGTGCAGGTATGGGCTAAATCTTAAATTTGTAATAGGACAAAAATCCTGTTGCCTTCAACAGGAGTTTTGCTCGCTAGTAAAGATTTTTCAGGCTTAATGTGATATAAAGTCATAGTTCAAAGACAAAAATGATCATATAGATGCCTCTTAAATAAAAGATAATACAGTGTAACTGCCTCCGAAGAAAATACTTTTATGGTTTAATGATTCTCAGTTTCAACTTTATGTTCTTGATATAGTATAAATATCTCCTTTTATTTTTGCTGATATACTATGTTGATAACAGTAATAATAAAATGCTCTATCAAGTCAACTTCTTTGTGAAGCATAACAATAAAGTATGCTTCTCAAAGTCAGCTAAAATCTCCAAACTGGTTTACACTGTTGAAGGTTAAAAGGTTAAAAGATCTGCAGCACATTTCAGCATAGCAGAGATACAGGAGCATAAGATTACTTTTTCAACAGTGAGTACGCAAAGCAGGTAGGCACACAAAACATGTCTTATTCCTTCTATGCATAGGAGGCTAGCCATACTTTGATTTTCTGCATGCACCTTCAAAGCCAATTCTTGAAAGTTGTTCCAAGGTATAAAAGGAAAAATTAAGGCTTAAGTTTTCACAAAAAAAAAAAAAAAAAAGAAAGAAAATAACCTACAGTTATAATTCATCTTGCAGCTCAAATATAGTTTGAGACCCCTGGCTTGCACATCCAGATAAAAAACTTTTCACTGCCCTGTCCAAACACTTTCTCTTACTACATAAAATAGGAATAGACTATTTTCTTAATCATAAAATGTTGCTTCCTAGGAGTTCTTCTGGACTTTAATATTCTACTAAGGTTCATATATTGCTGAAGCTTGCATCACATCTCTAAAAGCAGAGATAGTAGTTACAATTAATAGAGATCACAATAACACTCTTGCATTTTCTGTGGAATAAAATTATACTCCCATAACCTATTTCCTGAAAAAAATAAGGAATACAAAATAAATAGGTTGCTCTGAAAGTAATGTTTCTATTTATATCTATGGAAACTACAACAGATACAAAGAGCACAACAGGACTGTTCGAGCAAATTCTCAGCTGCAGAACACTGTTTTTCAACATAGTAACCACCATTAACTATGCATTTTCACCTGCAATGAACAAAAACTTTTGTGCTGCACTCATACAAATCTGAACTAGTGGAAATGACTCACTGTTGCTGTTGCCACTGCTGAAATACATCACCCACCACCTCACTAAACTCACATTATTTGATCTCCATAAACATTTAGCAAGTGTCCCTGAATGTCAGCGGGTGCCATTTTTTTAACATAAGGAGGAATTCAGTGACGTAACTTTGCTTCATGCATACTTCCATGTCAGACATCATTTTGTTAGGCTGCCCCACTGCTGCCACTTTCACATGGCAAGAAAACTTAACAGGATATTGATGGGAAGAATTGAACCTCTACACTGCCATTCTGCCAACATGGTCCTTTAATGTCATGGGCCATAGTAATAATATAGGAGGCACTACTTTCAGAGCAAGCCTTGTGTGTTGAATTTAGATTCTTAGCAGACAGTGTTTGGTACAGTGCAGGGAAGCTTGTCTCAAAGTGAAAACACAACTGAACAAGCTTTTGCCCAGATGCTTCACAACATCAGATTTTACAAAATATTTATAAAATTAAATAAATATAAGCAAAGAATATAGAGTTCCTAGGGTTTGTTTGTTTGTTTGTTTGATGATTTCCTTTACTCTGGTTTAAAGCATGCATTTAAGACTCGCCCTGAAAGAAATTAGCAGGCAACCCAGACAAGGGCCAGTCATTTAATGAAATTCATTCTGTATTTGTATTGTGTACAGCTAGATGGCTAGGAACTTGTGACACAGTATGGACACAAGCTACTGGATAATAATCCTGTCACCTCACCAGGCTTTCTTGTTAACTGCTGTGAATTTCCTCCACTTTCCTCAGAAACATTATCAAAAGGTTACTGTCACAAGAATAAGCTATTATAAGCTGATAATGGGGAAGAAAATATATTAAACACTGCTAAAAATTGAAGTAGCCTCATTTTGACAAAGAAAAATTCTTATATAGCTTTTCCTCACATATTAAATGATATGGATTGAAGAAATGACCAATTGATAACTATGGCATGAAAATGATGCAGATACATACACACGTATACATACATGTATATTGCATATATTCAGGAAGCCCAGATAAAACTTTTTTTCATGTCATTAATGACACTACTCACCTCAAACGCAATGATTAGTGAATGATCTGATTGTACAGTAGGACCGGATATTTTTGGTTAGCAACTTCTCAGAATTTATGTATGATTTATGTTTCAAAGTGATTCAAAGCTAAAGGTGCTAGTTAAGCTCCAGTATGATGAAGAAAATTACTTCTAGAAGTTCTAAATAGTATTCTCAGTCCTACCTTATTCATCCTTTATTTTCCCTCACCTATCAGTGTCTTTTCTTATGATTTAAAGATCATGTGTTTTCTAGTAATAGCCAACTTAAAAAAAGTATTATAGTTGTTTACTACTCTTGATTAGAAATAGAGCTATTTCTTTGGGACTTACCTTATCATTCACTACACTTTTTCCATCCCAGGCCCATCCTCGTTTTGTGAAATAATTTACAGTTGCAAATTCAATTAGTGCAGAAAATACAAATGCATAACAAACAGCAATAAACCAATCCATAGCTGTTGCATATGCTACTTTGGGGAGTGAATTTCGAGCACTGATGCTCAGTGTTGTCATTGTCAACACAGTAGTAACTCCTGTAAGGGGATAAAAAAAAAAAAAAAAAAAAAAAAAAACCAACAATTTTACTTGGATTTTGAATGTTAAAATACAAAACAAAACAAAGTGGAAATTTGCTTATCTAAGGTGGCGTCGTATTAAAGGCAGTGTCTGGAGTTGTTTTGAAGAATTTAAGTCCATGATCATTATTTAAAAGTCAGTGTTAAATTAAATTTAAAACTGTTTACAGATCTCTTTATTTACAGATACTCTTTTACACCCTTTTTTCTTAGGTATTTTAATAAGAAAAGTTTTATACAGCTGCCTACCAAATACCTGTTTTTACTGCAATGGCTACAAGTCTGGCATTCATCTTTCCAACAGTATATAAAATCTGACACTCTTTTTAGTAGAGATAATTAAATACATATGTTTTCAATTCAATTTCTTACCAATCAACCAACGACACAGTTGAAGACCTAAAGAGGTTAACTTTTCATTCAGATTTTCAGACAAGGTTTTTTTCCTAGAAAACAGCATACTGATTTTAAGAGATTTTTACAACTGTATATGATATGTGAGAAAATAAGACTTGATCCACGAGTGCTCTTCTTCATTGTAACAGTTGTTAAAAACACTTTACAATGCTTAATGAGAACCCAGCAGGAAGCCAGAAATTCTACAAGAAAAAAAAAAAATCAGAAAAGGGATACTTCTGAAGGAAAGATTAGACTGTTATTCTGAATATTTTAGCATGAAGAAACTCATAGCCAGAAATGAAATCTTCATTCCTTAGGCAAATCAGTTCTTACACCCAAGGCTGAATCACACTTAGACAAACTAAACTATTCCCTTTGTGGCACACCATTACTTATGTTTCCAGAAAAAAAAGCAAGACAAAGTGAAATACTTAGCATAGATCAGCAAACTTGTACTTGATTGACAGGCTAAGGAGTTTCCACAGCAGTGAAATTAGTAACAGCTTCAACAACTGCAAACTCATAAAATTGTTGTCACAGGAATCCCTACAGAAAAGTCACACTCCCTAAGTCAGATCCTCTGCTGTTAGCAATCTTTTACCTAGGTTCTGCAGGATCAACCTAGATGAGATTTTTCTTCTGCTAGAAGATAAACACTTTAACTTCCATGGAAGAGGGAAGAGAAGCAGCAGCTATACCTACTCAGACCTTTTCAGGCGTTGCAATTTCTATCATTCCTGTGAAGAATTTTCACCTCTGTGGTTGTTACAGAGGATGACAGAGCAAAGCTAAGTGGACTCAACCTGTGCTTTTCTCTCAATAAGTGCTTCCAGAGGTCATAATTCCAAAAGGAAGACAAGGCACAGAAACATCTGCTGATTCACTCAGTATCCACAAGTTTAAGCAGACATAGTTCATTAATTGCTATTTTTTGGCCTGCACATATTAAAGAAGGGGATTTAGTCTGGAGTCAGTTGTGCTGTTGTTATCTAAAGCCTGTACAATGACAAGGAAGCACATTTTGTTGTATGGAAATGGGCAGACAATGTATTTTGTGAAGAATTTTTTCTCCTTTGACACACAACATATGGCTTAATTATTTTCTGCACTTCAGGGAAAATGTAGTCTATCTATTCAAAATTATCACATGCAAATTTTAACACAGGTCTTGAGCTAGAGAGAAATAATTTTAATTACACAGAAGTATCAGTGAAGTGATTGTTTCTCAGAAATACAATGACCTTATCCATATGCAAATATATGCGGTTGATAAGGTAGCCTCCTGTTTAAGACCTACATTTTAGAATAAACTAAGCTTCTTGAAGATCCATTGTCTTCTTCAGAAATCTTATTTAAGATTAACTGTTGACCTTTTCTAGTCTCAATTAAAACAACATGAATTTACATTGTGCATCTTGCTACCAGCTGACAATTTCTCTGCAAAGTTCAACAAGCCAAGCAACTTTGTGACTGTGTTTCAGTATATTGTCAGACAGCTGCCAATGTATTTTAATTTATTCCTTCATTCTCTAAATTCAAGCTATCACATTCATTTAACCTGAATTGAATGGGAAAAAAAAATATGGAAAGTTTAGTCTGTGATACTCTGATCTTAGAAAACTCCAGCAATTTTCATTTCCTATTCTTCAGTCAAACAACAGATGATTTTGCATACTAGGTAACTTGAAACAACAGTAACTTCAAGCCATCTTTAAGAAAAAGGAATAAATGAAAATAACCTTTTCCCTATTGCTGCTTAGCAATAACACTTATGAACTAAAGTTTTAATATAAAGCATTCTCCCTACAATAAGAGGCAGTCAAAATATTAGAGGGAAACAATCTCCTACACTAAATCATATATTACTCTGAACAGTCTAAATAATTTCAAAGGCTATGTAGTGATGGAATCTTACCTCACTACGATGAAGAAAGACTACACTTTATGTACAGGTCAAGAACTATCTTCTATAATTCCTCTTGTCCACACTGCCATCATATGATGGCACTGTGTCAGAAAAACAGGGGCAATCACTGTCTTATAAGATGCAACAAACACTCATCAGTTTGCTTTTAAAAAAGGTCAAGAAATGAAACCTTTAATAGATCATTTTGATAACATTTCTCTTCTCTTAATAAGATCAATCATTCTGTACTTGATGGCAAATATACTGTTGAGAAGGAAAGTTGTAGTAACACGAAGGTATATGCCTATGAATGCTAAAAAAAAAATCTTTTAGCACTTCAGATTTATCCATTCAAGCTAAGAATGGAGCTATCTGATTGCCTAGGATTTACAGTGGAGCTTTTGAAACCGCATCTGCTCACTGAATACAAGATATACATCTACAGGACTGTAAAACTGAACATCTCTCACTGACATTAAATTTGCATCTGTGAAAAATACTGGCTTTGACATATTCTGGATCCCAGAATGCACAGATATTATTCAAGAATTGTTTAAAACTAGGCAGCTTCCTTTCAGCAAACAATGTCTGTTGCTAAACAGTATAGGTAACAGCCAGACAATGACTGAAAAAGGAAACCCAAAATATACCTAACTGAAAACACAGTGAAATTGAAGGAGCTGGCACGTACATAATGAAGTTAAATTCAGTGATGACGACTAGGCTCATGCCGATGTATGTGTTCAAATTCAGCCTATTCCTTAGCAAGGACAGGTTCTTTCAGATCTTAATTCTACTTCTCGTGTAACAAATTCATTTTCTAATTTGAACAGACTTAGTTGTCTAAATTATATCCTATCTGTATTGTATTGGAATGTAAACATCTCCTTTGAAAATGAATCCTACAAATCACGAAAAGGATATTCTGTAACAAAATAAGTACTTCAGCTTTTCAAATAATCTGCACAAAATCCTTAAGTTGTGTTTCAGGTCTTAAAATACGCTGCTCTTTTCACAACTTCATCTTTTATCACACTTGTTATATATAACAAAAAAAGATTGTTTTTTTTTTTTTTTTAAGGTTAATTAGATCACTTAACCTGGTAAAAAAAAAACTGAATAGGTTAATAAATACAAGAGAAAGTAATGTCTGATCTCTCTTTTATGAAAATAACTACTAATAAATTTTACTACAGTTTAAAAGGTTGGGGCACTAAACAAATGCAGATAAGCTCTGGAAATAGTGTGATATTAGAGTAATTTGACTACACACCGTACTGTTTATGTGCATATGCATTACATGAGAATACAATACAAAACCAACAACCTACAAGCCAATTCCCAAAGCTGAATGGCAAGAGCAGTCTACTCCAGCTCCCACACAAGTCTCACATGATTATGCTTCCATTAACACACAAGCTACAGTCTTGGGATAGCACTGAGCTGGGAAGGCATTAGTTTGTTGGCAGCCAGCTCTGTCTCTAACCAAGTGCTACTGCTTATCATATATGCTTCCCATTGAATACCTCGAGTGTTATGTCTACGTTAACAGAACTCCCCTACTAAGCAGCTATAGGATGAAAGTTGAGTGGAAGGTTATCTCTAAGGACACAAGATAAACTGTGGCCTCTGAAAGAAAGAAAGACAGTTGAGGCTTTTTTTTTTTTTTTTTTTTTTTAAGAAAATAGGACAAAGATACATGTATATACAGAACTGTTCAAAAGGCAGGGTCTACCTCATTCAATTCTCTTGTAAAAATAACCACATAAGCAATCTGAACTTGTCTAAGGATCCTATTTCTGTATTTGCAGAATCAAAAAGCCTGTCTATTTAAGGTTAAATAAATACCTCTTTGTTTCAAAATGTGTATTGATATAGATTCAGAAAAGTTAAACCAAGAACAAACAGGGAAAGGGTTGTAGCATAAGAATAAAACGAGAATAAAGTTTGAGTTTAGAACACTGCATATTGGAAGTGTACTAACAAAATAACACAGCTGTTATTTCAGTTCTTGCCTTGCTCACTTTGGGGATCATAGAATACACATCTTACTACATCTATTCTAATATCCTCATTCCTACCCTGAAGGAGTTAAAACAATATCTACTGTTCTAAGAAAGATGATTTCTTATTTTTCTGTGGCTTGCCTCAAATCTTGCAATTCAAATACATGTGATGTTTTTAAATGTTATGACCCATTGAAAATGGAGTGAAAATTCAATAACCTGCGCAAGATTTGCTTTGCTAATATTGTTGATAATAAATGCAGAACAATAAAAACATTACTAAATGAAATAGATAGTAATCTTGCACTAAATGTAGAAATTATAAACCAGGCTTATTCCCTTTCATTAAAAAGGCAAATACTTTTCAAATTTGTCTGTTAGAGAAAATACATTCAATACTTATTTACTTAACAGTGATAAATTCTTTTTCTTCCAATAATTTAAAGATGAAACAATAGAGCATTAAGCCACTGTTCTTTTTGGACAGCTTAGGTCAAATATATTGAATAGATGCCATAAAGGAAAGGGATTAAGGAGCTCAACTATAAAAAGAATACTCATTATATCAAGTCCTTAATGTTAAACTACAGCTTGAAAGTACATCACAAGAGAAAATAAAGGATAGTATCTTCTCTCAAAATACCAAGTGATACATGAAGCTTTGAATAACTAGAGGTTACATTTCTTTGAAAGAACAGTACTCAAACACTTAATCCTTCCCAGAACTTGGTAACTCTTAAGACACTTGAAAAAAATCTCATCCATTCTTATAAATGCTTTATCAAAACTAACGCTTTCATCTTAATCATACTTTTAGTATCTTTATGGTCAATGCAAAGATGAGTATCTTGTAAGAAACCACTTAATATAAAAATATTAAATATGATCAGTACAAATGTATAGTAAGCTCTCTTGCAAGTTTACACTTCATGCTGGAAGCACCTGATTTTACTATCTTAGCAGGATTTCTGTATAACTGGGTAGTGTCTAGCTGAAAGCAACACCCAAACAAACAACACCCTGAATGAATCCATGCAGCTCTGTCAGGATTAATTCAATGAACCAGAAAGCTTTAAGAAGCAACAGAGGAACTTTGTTATACAAGTGTGGATAACTTCACATTTTTGTAACATATTTAGGCTGGAGACAAGAGGGCAATAGAAATCCCTGTGACAACTGCTGCCAGTAGGTATGGAGAAAGACTGGGAGATTCACCTGGGGCTACATGATTAGAGCAACCATTAGCAGCTTACGCTGACAATCTCATTTGAAACATAAAAAAATTAGAAAATAGCTCTTGCAGCGACATCCAACCCTGTGCAGAAGGCTAAGCATGTGGTACAACTGCTGCTCCATCAGGCAGAGATCAGACTCATCAGATGCTCAGTGCAAGTATCCAGGGTTTAAAGTGTCAGTCCAGGCTGGTCTCAGGTGGGGAATGAGGCTATAACTATTGCTGAGATGTATGCATGTTTGAAAGAAATAAAATACTAGGATAGAAACTGCTACCTGCTCCCTATACCCATTTTGCTTAGTCAATATATTTTGGATTTTATGTCATGGGTGGCCTGGTTCTGCTCTTGTAGACATTCCACTCAGTTTTTCCAAGACATCCTGATATAGGCAAAATGATTACATCACATTGTTCATTAGTACATATTGTTCATTATCCAGAATACACTTAAGTCTGATCCAATTAAATTTGCAGGCTGTTACGCAGATATTATTTCTTTCCCCCAAATACAAGTTAAATAAAAAATAAAGACAGAACAAGAAAGATATATGTAGGAAGGGAGGTAAGGCTGCAGGAAAATTATCTTAGTGACTTGTTGCTGGTGATACTATAACACTACATTTTAGGGAAAGAAGATGGAAGCTGTTTATAGACAAACCAGCTACAGTGTCCTAAACGTATAGGAAATGGTACAGAAAAGAACAAGGATGGAGGTATAGTATTTGCCATTGTACAAGGAAAGTGTAGGAAAAAATTCATTAAAAAGTGTGTTTTGATAAACAGAAGTGTACAAATTGACAGAAGAATTTGAAGAAAAATATTGTAACTCTCTGTTAAATGACTAGGAAAACATGGTAGAATTCTAGTGCCTCTAAAACTGCTGACCCGTTTCATTTGACTTCAATAAGGTTCATATTCAAACCTGCAATTTTCATGATATGTTTTGTGGCATTTCCTCTACCAAGAGAGACTGTGAGTGCTTCATTGTGCATGACTTATTTGAGTTTGGCGTATTTTTTGAAGACTGTGTGGTGTTTACTAATGATTAACCATAAGATTTTATACAGTATCTTTGATAGCTGATTATAAATAGGCATTGTTTTTGTTGCACTTTTATCTTATTCTTTAAAAATCAAACAGATTAGAAGAATTCTAAGTTGTACGTATTTAAAAAGACATTTGTTGCTTTGCTTTAATAAGGAAAAGAACAAAATCTTAATTTATGAAAAATGCTATCATGCTTCACTACTAAAGCTATTCACTATCCTAAGGTACATTCCAGTTTGAATAAGTGAGAAAGATTTACTAGGCTCACAGAAAAAGATTTACTTTGAAGAACTGCAGTTTGCAAGTTTTAATGCATTCAAATAATTCAGGTCCTTAATTTGCTTAATTTACAAGCATACTTAGAAATGTACATATCTATTATGTGTCAAAATGATTGAGTAATATCAGTGGAAGAAAGACATTTCAGAAAACAATGTAAATTAAATTTTAAATGGGAATATCACAATTACATTCTATTTAGTGGAAAATATTTTCACAGAAGAGAGGAAAGAATATAGGAACAGTTCTCACTTGCGCTGATTTCTGAAAGATTTGGTATTCCCTGGAGTTCTGTAAGATGCTGCTGAAAGTTATTTCAACTGAAAATAACGCCATGTTCTACAAAGTAAATTAAACAAAAAAAGGGCTCTACCAAGCACACTTCAAAAACGCTTCCTAACAGCTTCAGCTATTGCAAATAACACATGCCACTCAATGTACTCACCAAAAACTGTCCTGGCCGGTACAGATTCTCTGTTCAGCCAGAATGAGACTTGAGAGAGAATGACAGTCATGATACATGGGAGGTACGTCTGAATGACAAAATAACCAATTTTTCTCTTCAAGTGAAAATGGGCTGTCATTACTGTATATTCACCTAATGTGCCACAAAAAAAAAAAAGTTTATAGTCTTCAGAAAGTCAGATTCTATAGTAAAATAAAGTTTGGCACATTTATGCAAACCAAATGTACTGTAATTAAATTGAACAAAATGTACTGTGTAGTAGGAGGCATCCTACAGTATACAAGAAAATTTAAATTTGGGTAAAATTACATCTTATTCCTACTAAGATCCATGAAAGATCAGTATTCAGGAACTTACATGAACTGTTCTATGTCTTGACAAGAATTTCGGTGCTGCAGGCTTCTTAATATAAGCAACCCTCTGCATTCACACAAAGCACCCTAAGAACTCTGTCTACAGTCATAGAATCATCGCCTGACATATGTAGGATCATAGTTTAGAGCCAAGTAGAATAATCCATTATTAAATATATATCTTATTAAATATTATATTATTATAAATGTTTTTAAGAAAAAAATATGCTGACAGATAAAAAATGTTTGAAAATAGAATACTTTACCGTTTAGTAGACAAAAAGCATTATTTACCATATGAAATTGCACAACCATCCAAGCCTTGGATTACAATTGTTATTATTCAAGACTGAGTATTAAAAAAAAATGTCACTGGGGAGCAGTTCACTTCTATTATTATTTGCTACTTTTTGACTTGAAAGAACTCACTGCTTTGAGTTATATGTAATAAACTACGGCTAATAACATTTTTCAGTAGCTTACCATTACTATAAGCCTACACTCATTACACCGAAGTGAGTGCTTTTTCTTAAAACTTTTTTTTTTTTTACTAACCTGTACTTGATTTAACTGTCTCTTTTCCAATTGTTTGGCCCAAAAGATCATACTGATTCAATCTTGAACCATCTGGTGCCACCTGTACAGAATCTGAAGCGTTATAAGTCCAAATATATGTCACTTCTGATGTTGTGTATGCATCTGTGGAAATAAGATATGATATTTTATCAGTTATTTTAACCAAACAAGTTACATCCAAATTCATCTACTTCGAAGAGCTACTTAATTACCTTTCAAAAGGAAACTTCAGAGAACTAAAATGTCTAGCAAAAACACCTGTATATTTTAAATAACTTTACTAGGGTTAATGCTTATGGCTGCATGGGATCAGGGCATGCATTTGTGTATTTATTAATCATGATCTATTTGTATAAATTGCAAACAATAATTCTTCCATACTGTCACAGATCCACTATGTATGAATCCTAAAAGTCACAAAAAGTCAGGTCAGATGAAAAGAACAGTGATTTTTGACATTTAGAGTACACAATCTTTTTTTAAATTCATTTCTATACTGTTCTCACCTTCTATTTCCCTACTCTCCCTTTGGCAGTGTATCACAAATGTTTTGTTATTCATACCTGAGTATGGGGAAACAGGTTCTGTGACAATGCTCTTAAAATACCTGCAGAAGGTCGGTACCTTAACCTCTTAGATCTATCTTTGGGGCATAATGACATTAAGCAATCTGCTTCCTCATTACACTCATCAGAAAACATACATTTAATCCTAGTCAGTCAAAATAAACTAAAAAGGAAGCAAATCAGCACTGTATTTTAGATAGCATTAATGTCTCTTCAACAAGTAAAAAGAAAATAATGAATATATCTCACAAGTTTTTCCAATCTAATACCCTCATAAACAAATAGAGTATGAAAGGAAAAGGGTAAAACACTAACGGAAGAAATTGTGTGCTCATTTGATTGACTGAGACAAGTATATTTGAAACCTTACCCATATCTGCAGTGAGGTAAAAATAATAAAAAAAAAGCAACATTTTTGCTGGACTGTAAACATTTTCACTTGAGAAATCCCTGCAGGCCTTGAAAGATGCTTATTCATTCAACTTGCCATAAACTGTAGGACTAACATAGCAGGCAGGCAGCACGCAGAGATGTTTAATACTTCCCTTCGAACTACCCATATTCCCACAAGAAGCCCTCTACTTTAACGCAAATCATTAACCTTGCCAACTTCCAATTTGCCCCTATGCTCTCCACTGTTGGTTAGACTTTTTGATAAAGATGAAGAATGGCAATTTATTAAGCTACAGCTTCTTCAGTACATCCAGCTCAGCTTTTCTCTTGAGCACAAGAAAGAAACTGAGACAATCTTGCAGGCTGATGATCCTCTTAGCAATGTAAGATTAGCAGCATACACGAGGAGATATGACAAACATATACCACTGGCAGACTTCCTTCAGCTAAACCAAATCCTCAGGATTTTGGCTTATTTCTTTAACCACTGTTTATCATTTAAATTCAGTCCCAGAATGAAAGATGAAAAATGAAAGCCTAGAAATGAGTTCTAGTTAAAGAAGTGAGTGCTAAGCCTTTCAAAATGAACAGAAATAAGCCTTCACTGTGTGCCAACTGGCTGGAGCACAAGTGACTACAAAGAGAAAAGACAGCTTCCCTAAAATCACTTTTCTCACAGTTACACTTTCAAACCTGCTTTTTACTGGAAATGCAGAAACCACAGGAATAGAACAAAGAACAAATTAGTAGTGAAAACAAATAGAAAAGAAAAACAAGAAGCAAATCTCACACAAAGTCCAATATACCTATTCAGAAGGTTGTTTTTTTTTTTTTTTTTTTTTTTAACCTTAGCAGCGCAGATCAAGTCATGCTATGAAGTAACTGCATAGCCTAAGTATCAGTTTCGTTATTATAGGTATTTTTGTTTTATATCAGTTGTTTTGAGGCTACATTGAGTCTTTTTCTCCCTCATTCATGTATCTTACTGTGCACATATATATAAATATTATTCATCAGTAGCTGGTTTTGGCCAACATTTCTTGTGTTATTTAGTTAAGTTGCATTATGTACTATAAATGTAATAAAATATTTAGTGGAAAAAAGGCTCCATGGCAAAACTATTATTAGTTTGCTATCTTTTATCTCAACAGTTAAGGCCTCCCTTTAGAGTGGCAGCATAATCAGAAACATAGACTTGATTAAATTTGCTTTTTTTCCCCTCCAAACTCCATAGAAATGGTACACACCAGTGCTATGGAAAGAATGTGCATAGTGCTCTGACAGCATTCATTTTGTGAATATCTTCTTAATGGTGGCCTATCACCTGTTTCACAACCTGTGGGGGCTACAGTAAAAATTAAAAGAGCCAGAATGTATTGGTATTACATAGTTTCCTTGAAAAAAGGATGCCATTTCCTGGGCCTGAAACAGAATATACACTGCAGAAAAAAAAATAATAATTGCAATGAAAAAAAAACAGGAAATACATACAGCGCAATCCTAATTCACAAGGAAGAAGGATTGCTAATACAGGTGAATGAATTTATATTGCTGTTAAAATAACAATACTGAGATCAAAGTCCACCTATCTAACTAGCCAATATGATAATGAATGATTTTTTTTTTTAAATCAAAAGAAGCCATATGTTTTTGCCTTAACTAAAGAATGAAAAAGAAAACATGATTAAAAATAAGGAGGAAGAAAACATTTCAATAAATGAAGACACTCTTCCAAGTCTTTACTTGCTCTTTATTAATACAATATGTACATTCTACACAGTTTATGGGCTCCTAGGCTTGTATTCATCAGTATGGTTAGCATTCTGGAATAAAAGCAGATCAGCACAGTGCTGAATTAGGTGCACAGTATTTACTGTCAAATTGTACCAAGAAAGTTTTAAAATACACTAAAAGACAATAGCATAGATAAAAACAATTGCAATGTGTCAAGTTACAATTTCATTAAAAAAAAAAAAAAAAAAAAAAAAAGCACAACCTTGTGTTTTAAACCTCCCTTTAACAACTTATTTTTAACTAAAATGAAGGTTGAGCAATATTAGGTTTTCACTAATCAAAGACCGTAATTCTGGTTATACACTTACAGCTGCCAAATTTCAGTGGGCATGAATGAGCATCCATAGGGAAGTCTTCCAAGTGCATTGGACATTCGGCTTGGACTGTAAGCCTAAAAGGCAAAAAGACCACTATGCATTTAAGTCAGTTAGCAGGACAAGAAAATCAATTCCACAAAAATGAACAGTTCATATATATACATACATATTTAGGAGATGAAACTGAAATGTTATATTAAACTAATTTAAATTTAGATCAGCTCTTGCTTCCTCCCTTGTATGTGTTCCTTTGGAAAGCACTGACATACTACATCAAAAAATTAAAAGAGACAACCTCAAAACTATGAGGACAGGACATTTAAATGAAAATACAAATTATGTAACTGAAGGTTTTTAAGAACTGTCATTTTCTTCTCATAATATTCTAAGGTACATATGTGATTATATGGCTCTGAAAATCTCATTACAAAACCACATAAAATGCAGTTGACTTAGCAAAAGACTGTGTGCCACATTTCTTTTATCCTTTTTTAAGAGTCTGAATGTGAAAATGTAGGGGAAAAAAGTGTACTGTTTTAAAAAGCTGCTGCTATTCATCCTGTTACTTGTAATTAGCATTTGTGTTTGTTTATAGGCATGACAACGTGTTAACAGTGCTCATCTGTTGTTACAAGATGTTACGTTTGCTCATCTGGTGATAAACTCCCAGTAATATTGTATTAAATATGTGGATTAATACAGTAAAACAACTTCAAACAGCTCAAACAAGTTTTGACATTTTTATTTTCCACTATTTTTAGCTCAGTGAGTTAACTCAGCTTTAATTAATCAAAATTCTGCTTCTCCTTCCTATCTTGTAGGTTCCCTTTGGGTTGAAATTTTTCCTGCTCTTTATGTTGCTCTTCATCCATCCATCCATCCATCCTCAAATATCAACTACATTTTCCTGCACTCCCAATGGTTCACGGTCATTGTATCCCCAATCAGATTTTCCAGTTTTTCCAACATGAACTTAAAACAAATAGAAAGTGTTCAGTGATTCTACTTGGCTTGATCTACTTTCTTGTTATTAAAGAGAAGAATGGTTTCAAACACTGCTGTTTACTTTCATAGAATGTAACTAGAGTATATTCTGAAGGAAGTGAATTTTAGTCATTTCGTAGAGAAACAATTAGAAATATTTGAGATCAATTGTATAAATGGAGGTCACAGTTTACTTCTTGAATACCATATAGTATGATTAGCAGCCTACCCTTCAACATTCACTACAAGGGCTTATTGGTTATGCCTATACATACATACCATTTATAACACTTATAAATTATTTTTCTGACCAAATGTACTACATTTTACCAGCCAAGTGCTAGTCATTTCCAGAAGCAAAAATGAAAACTTTAAATAAAATCCTGTCATTAGATATATTAAAAAATAGTTATTGAAGTGTAAAGTACATTTTCTGCATAGTTCTTGTTAGGAAGAATTTAAGGACACAATGCAGAGTGATAGGGAAGAGACAAATTCACTTTTCTTTTAATTTTTTTTTATTTTTTTTTTTAAATGTCACTTTAGGAAGTGACTGGAAATCCTCAGATTTTTCCCCACAGGAATTTGGTAGGGCTTATCCATGAAGATAATGAGGCCAATAATCCAGCCAGAATACCTCTGCACCAATGCGCAAGCATAGGAAATAAGCAGAAAGAAATGGAAACCATGGAGCAGTTAGAAAACTATGACCTAACTGATATCACAGAAACCTGGCAGGACAAATCTCACAACTGGAATACTATAATTACAGGCTTTAATTATGAGTTTTAAAATACACTAAAATATACAACAGAATAGATAAAAATCAGTCGCAATGCATCAAGTTACAATTAAAAAAAAATTTTTTTAAATGGGCTGCAATATTTCAGAAGATGTAGGCAGGGCAACTGGGGATGAGGAGTTGTTTTTTGTGTTAAGGAGTGGATAGATTCCAAAGATATGTCTCTGAAAAAGAGCCATGACTATATTGAGAGCTTGTGGATTAAAATTCAGGATAAGACCAATTAAGGATGTCTGGTGGTCAGGATCTACTAAAGGCTGCCTGGCCTGTTTAGCCTGTTTTACGAAGCCTTCTTGCTTCAGTTTGACCTCACTGGGGACTTCCAGTACCTGAAGAGAGTTTATTGAAAAGCATAGTATCAACTTTCTCCGTGGTTGGATAGTGATAGGACAAGGAAGAACTTTACAAGAACGAGATTTAAACTAAAAGTGAGGAGATTTAGGATGCAGGCTAGGAAGACATTATTTACTGAGAAAGTGATAAGGTACCCGTACAGGCTGCTCAGAGATGTTAAATGTCCCCTCCCTGGAAATTTCTGAAGCCAGGTTGGATGGAGGGGTGGGGCAGCCTGATCTAGTGTTTGGCAACCCAATCCACGGCAGGAGGGCTGGAGCAAGGTGACCTTTGAGGTTCCTTCCATCCTAAGACGTTCTGTGATTATGATTTATTTTCTTGTTTCCAGTGATCTCAGTAATAAATCTGCCTAATGATTCAAGCGGTCTACTGTTGTGTGCTGCAACAGACCAAAGTTATATGCTAGTCTAATTGTTCTGAGACAGAGCATAAACGCTTGAGTATCCTTAGTAGTTCTAAAACAATTCCCAACTACAGGCTTTAAAGTGTTTTATGCAGACTGTATCTTTTAATATGTTACGTGTTCGTGAGAACTGAGGAACACATAGAAAACACTGATCTATTTGAATAGATTTGTAACAGAATCAGAGAAGAAGTTCTCTTGGTGTTGGGTTACAAACTAAAAGAAATAAGAATCTTCATGGAGCCTTACATAATTGATAACTGGAAAAATTGCATCAAGAAATAGCATGAGCAGAGAAAAAATAAAAATACATACCTCATGGTGTACAAAAGAGTTCCATCATCTTGGATTCGTAGAAGCTTGTTAGGCATTGTCATGTTATGAGCAACCGACTTCTTCCCATTGTGAAAAAACGTATCTGGGGTCCAGATTTTGCTGGCCATTAAATTGTTCAATCGAAGAATATTCATTGGGCCCTTAAATTTTAACCGCTCATCTTTCCATCTCTGACGGAAGAAGACATCTATTGTGTATTCCTATAATGGAATAAAGATGTGTGGTTTTTTTGTTTTTTTTTTTAACTATGAAAAATTAATCTGCATTTGAGAAACAAGTCAGAGAAACACTGGTTGTAAAATTCCTTCAGCAAAATTTTGTCAAGGCAGAGTAAATATCACAAAATTTGATGGCTGTGTCAAACCTTTTCAGTACTTAGATTTCTGTACGTGAAACATATAGCACACATGACAAAGGTAATTTCAATTAAATTAATTTAAAATAAGAAATAAAAAATAGGAGAATATGATGTTCATGCAGCAGATGCACCTGCAGGAGAGTGATGGAGCATTTTAAGTGCATGGAAAATACCAAAAAATGAAAGGAAGAAAAGCAAGGTTATTAACGTATGGCACAATATATGCCAGTAGATTGATATAAAGAACAGTGTTCCAAAAAGAGAAGCAAGGTCTGTAAATGTGTACATTTTATTAGCAAAAGTACACATAAGGAGCAAATGAATTACAGGTGGCCTACACTCTGTCTGCTTAACTCTAGTGCCTAATCTTGAGAAGGAAAGAGAAAAGGATGCAAGCAAAACAGACTGGTGACCCGGATCAAATGATTGCACTTAGGTAGTCCATTTGCTGTTTTTTCTTGCTCTTCTAAAGAAAAGAGCAAAAGACACCACACTGATGATATAGGTTCACAAACTTTAAATTGGAACTGTAAATGGCTTTGTTTGCTAGTGTCAGCACAGCATATAAATTGGAATTCAAAGATCTTAAGCTTTGTTGAAGTTTAACTGTGTTCTGGGTTCTGGCAAGTGTCACTTTGGAACAATTTCAATTTTATTGGACAAGTGCAAAACGGACACATTTTCAAAACATGATTATATTCCAACAGCCTGTACCACTGCAATGAGTCACAAGTTCTGACAAATTTTTATCAATATCAAATTTTCAAGTTACTTCAAAGCAGAAGTCTTCAAGGAACTTATCAAGTTCATACCACCTTTTTCTGTCTCCCTTGTGTGCTGATTAACAAAGCTTAAGTTCTTTCTCAATCAATCATATTGTTTTGCAAACAAGTGCTAAGCAGAGAGCAAGAAGCAAAAGCTTTTCTCATCTTTTCCTCTGTGAGCCCAGAAACAAGGACTTTTTCCAAGACAGGGACAGAATCTAAGAAAAGCACATGGAATAAAGGAAGTTCAGCTATCTGAAAGATCATAGCAAGGGAAGGAGAGAAAGTAATTGTAGTTAAAAAAAACTGTATTAGGTTCATGGAAAGATCCTTTGAGAACGATATAATGGGATGCTTATAAAGTCACCTGAAAAAACTCTCAAACAATTTATATCTATATCTAGAGGCCTTCCATTACTGTAATACAATTTTGCGTTTTTCTAATTCAAATTGTTACTCAGATATTAAACAAACCTAACACCACAATACACCAAAAATAATTTCTTTGTATTAACATAAATGGCAGTTGTTGTCTACACTAGTATTCTAGTAAACATATTGTAAACAGGTACTACTTCATGACAAATAATTTCCTTCTCCACTGTATACCACATTTAATTGTCCTGTACTATTTGCTAATTTGTTGTTTTATTTGCTAACAATCCTGTGACCTGAAATCCCATTTACAGATTCCAAATAATCTAACAGTTCAATTACATATCAAGGAAAGTTACTAATCATCTGAAATCTTGGAGGATAAGGAGCAGCAGAAACTGCATACTTGAAGCAACAGACAATATATGGAATCTGGCTAGAAATCTGTTATTTCAAGTAAAAAAAAAAAAATTGCCCTAAAATCTTCCTTATCATATCTATCTGAGAGGCTTTACCAGTGAAATCATTGCTATGCATGAGAAGATTGATGTTGGAGGTATACAGAAGAGGAAAGAAGAGCCTGAGGGAGCAAAGCTTTGAAATTCCACTAAAATTCAAGAGAATTGAGTAATAAGTCCTAAAAGATCCTTTGAAAAATAGCCCCTGCACATAAATGTTTAGAATATAAATTTTTATAATGTCTCCAATAAAGAATTTTAAAGGTTACACTTCCTCACTGTCTTCCACCATATATAAAAAGAATTACTCAAAGATAAAAAAGCAGACATGAAATGCCACTAAATCAAAACAGCAACATTTCAAGAAAGCACATCTGTATAGCCATAGCTTAGAAAGCAGAACAAACAGGAGAAAATATGTTCTGTGGCCTTGGAAGATTCCAGTTATAAATCCTAACTCATCTACAGGTAATTCTGCTCTCTGAGAATTTTTCTTCTTATCCATGGTGGAAAACATTATTTGACAGAACCTGTGTTGTTCTGAGAAGATGGAAAAAGAGTTATCCAGTGTTTTGTATGAATCATCAAAAACATCAGCAATAAAATCTCATTTTTCTTTCTATAGATCTCAATGCATTTTGTAAAGAAAGTTGCAAATAGGAAGAAAAATCGAGGCAATGAAATGAAATTAAATGGTCCCTGTCCATTTACACTACGATTACAAAAAACAAAACACATACATTTCGCATCCTAGCGCTATATTGACTGATCCCTATTCTGTTCTACTTATCTCATGAATACCTCTATAATAATTACCACGCAAAAAAAAAAAAAACGGGGGGGGGGGGAAACAACAAAACTCGTAAATATTTTGAATCTAATCAATATAAATATCAATATTTACCAAAAGATACATACTTAAAGGTTTTCTAACCCTTTCCTGTCCCACTTATGTATCTCTTTTTGGTAAATGCTGCATTGAGCAACATTTGAAACTGCATGGTTTTTTCGTAGTTCTTTTTCATTTTAACCCATAACAGCCCTGTTAAAAACATAAGTGATGTCCTAACTGACATTGCATTTCAAAGATACCTATATTCATTTTTAAATAAGTTTAAATACTGTCTGCCAGATATATACAACCTTTAATACTATTTATAGTGTCATATTTCTAGGGAATTGTAGCACGATCTTCCTCAATTTGAAGAACTCAATTCATGCCTTTGATTTCTGCTCTGTCGGCCAACTACAGTCTTTTTTGTCTAAGCATTTAAACTAAATGAAGTATTAGAAATTCTGTGGAGAAAAAAAAAAAAAACAAAAAACTTTTAACCAGTTTAAATCATAACACTGAGGAAAGATAATGTCTTCCTCTTCAAATCCATTTGTGAAAACATGCTTCTCTGAACAGCTTGCTCTCAATTTCCATAGACCTGATACAGAACAAACTCTGAGTATAAAATAAGCATTGTGGAGGGATAAGACTAATGGGAAAGATACAGATTGAGATAACTTGAAGTCTGCAACTTATTATTCACAGTACTGAAAATACAAAGATTTCATATTACTCTATTTTTGTTGTTCAGATATGGAGAAAGGGCAACCCTGAAACACAATGAATGCCTGGTGCCAGGGGCAGAAATTCAAACTGGAGTTACACTAGGAACTAATATCACTAGCTGGGCACAGTATCAGACAAATAAATCTCCAATACTGGTCTACTCAACAAAATACTGCACAAGAAAACAGTCTTTCCCAGTTGGAAAAGGTAGAAATTATGCAAGCCATCATGTGAGATATCCTCCTCAAAATTACCTATGGCTTTAACTTGCAAAGGCCACAGTCTTCGTCTATAATAAAAAGGAATAGAGCTATCCATTTACTGATTAATTAAAAGACAAATTAGAGGCGCTTGATAGCATAGAAAACCAAAGGTATTTCCTGTTTTGGCCTTTCATTTAGTCTTTTTTTTTTTTTTTTTCTCTCCTTCTGGTACTGAACTAAAGTATCTACAGTAAAAATGATTTCAATATTTTTTTTTAAACCTTTGGGAAAATATTTCACTTAGAAACAGCTAAAACTTCAAGTTCTATAGAAAAAAGATCTGAAAAACAAAACAGAATAAGGAAATCAGGAAAATGTGGTCTGGAGTTCAACCACCTCTCTGAAGTACTGTCCTCAATAGTAGTGAAATGTTATAACAAACCTGGTCATTTCTGGCTTTGATCTTCAGCTTTCATTAAAATTTATGTGCTGACTATAATTGAAAAGCAAAAAACATCCACTGAAATTTTAATTGCAAGCTGACAACACTACATTTTGTACTCAATATAACCATCTCTTTGAATGGAGTGAAAACTGAACAAAAATTATGAAGTGAAAAACTAGATGTCTATCAGCAAGACATTTAGGAAAAAAAATTGTGTAGAAATACTTAATGATCTTCGTGGGTCCCTTCCAACTTAGGATATTCTATGAAAAAGGGAAAAATACAGACATAACTGCAATAAATAAAGCTTTCCTAATACAACAAAATGCTGAGGTTAAAAATTGAAATATAGTACTGTAAGAAAGCCTGTTAATTTTAACACTCAGACAAAACTGACTTAGGTCCTGTCTACTAACTCTGTACCATAGAAGTAGGAAAGACAGTTCCCAGCGACAATTAGAAAGGCTGCTATGAAACAGTACTTTAAAAAAAGTTCACACAGCATTCTGCAAATCTCACATAAAGACTCTCAGTGGCTGTATGCTCTCATACAGCAAGTATGGTTTGAGGAGCAAACATTTTAATTTATATTTTATTCTCTCAAAGAGATCAGCACTTGTATGGCTATATTGGAAATTTTAGAAGCTAAAATTTGAGGTGAGTCTGGAAGGAAAGTAATTCTAAGAAAAAGCTGTAGAAGTAATATGATTGCAGTGCTAAAGTCATAGCTATAAAGCTATGCCAATCTACCAGATTGGATCTAAAATTATTTACTAAGTTCGGGGAAAAAAAAGAGAAACTATTAGTTTTAATTGCTTAAATTATTAACATTTTGTCATCCTGAAAACCATATTCCAACTAAAATTACCCTTCAGTTCAGAATTTTCAAAAATGAAAGATTTTAATTTAATTGTAGATGCTTTAATTAGCCACTTCAATCATAATTTAACCTTAGAACTCTTAGAAAATTCAGAGAAGCTTTGTTTTTTATATGTTTATTTTTTTGTGTGTGTTTTTATATAATGCAGCTTTCCTTCTCTCAGGCTAATGTCAAAGTAAATTTATAACACTGATCTGGTTGGAAGCCTATAAGACATAGCATCATAATTCTGAAATATTTTAGAGAAATAACAGCTCAAGACGATAGAACAGTGAAAATTAAACTTGCTAAATCATGCTTAATTTCTTTGCCTTCCTTAATTCCCTTTAGTCCTCAAAATGAAGTCAAAAATTCCTGATGTATATTGAAATTTTCTTCAATATTACATACTGTAATTAATATACGATCGCATTTTTTCTAATACAGTTATTGTAGTTACAACCATATATTAGCTGTAGCAGCTAATTTGAAGTGCAGTTTGCAAAAGAGTCCTGGCCAAGACTCAACAGATTTGGCAGCTGAGTAGCTTGGGGAGAACAGAATGTAGCATATTTTTTCCCCCCTTTAGACAACATGTTAACCCATGATGAGGATCTTTTTTTCCTTTTTTTTTTTTTCTCTCCAAACCTCTAAACGCATTTGCTGAATAATCTCAGCTTCAGACTTTACCTCCTGAATTTATCAACCACAACATCAGCTAGTCTAAAAACAGTCAGAGGTCAAATTTATCTAGACTTAACTACTTTATGGACTGGAAAAATACAGATAATTTGAATGAAATCCTACTTATTTTTCCATTGAACAATTTAGGAGGAAGCCTTAAAAATTAAAATAGCATTCCCAACATTTACAGAAGAAAAATATCTATAATGTTAACTACTATAGAGAACATTTATCAATTCAGTAAAGCAATATTTAAATGAAAGAGTAATCATTGTACCAACATTACCTTCACATCTGACAGCATGTAATAGCTTGGAAGTTATTATTTCAAAACTTGACTGCCCACACATTTCAAAGTGGTTTAATGATTATCAACTTAACAAGTTAAACTAACCCTGAAACTTTTAGTAGTAGATATTAAACTGCTTTTACTTACCTATCAACAAGAAAGGCAAGAGCAGATAAGTGAACTTTCTGTTAACACTGTCCCTCCCTTCTTTCCTATGAGAGGTGTTATATTCATGAAGATCTTCCTCACTAGTGCAACACATTCTCCTAATCTATGACTTGCAGTGAGTTACAACAAACCCCTTGCCTCAGAGCCTTTTCTCTATTGCTGTTTTCACGAGAAATCTTGATCCAGAGAAATATTTTGACAGTTTATTCCTTTATAATTTCATAAACTTCATTTCATTGGCCCTGCTGACACTGCTAGACCTAAATGACTATGAAAAGCCTAAATACTCAACAAAAAATAATACACACTTGGTTTGAGGCTGTTGAGTTCAGGAACACAAGTTTATCTGGCTTAGTATTCGCATGTATTGTCATCACAAATTTCTGCTTAAATTCTGGATTCATGAAGTGAAACACTGATAACTAAATTTATATGAATTCCACTGTTTTGGTTGATTTTTTTCATACCACTAGGTTACTAATGTTGCAGATCAGATCTGTAAAACTGAGCTGATGAGCCAACTTTCAAGCATTATTTTGAGAAAACTTATTACAAACTATCTTCAGTCGGGTCATACAGTAAGCGTACAGTTTAGTTTCATCCAAGAGGAATTTATTTCAACTGCATCGAGATTGTCCCAGAACATGAACCAAAGTACAGCCAATTAGAAAATTCATTGATCCAAAACTAAATAGTTAATAACAATGTATCATATAAGGCCTATAAACCAAGTTTCAGCTTTAGAACTTCTGGAATCTGGCACTTCTGGGCTTCAGAAAAATTATTCCCAATTTGCCCACAATTAGTGAAAGTCAAATATAAGTTTGAAAGCAATTTTATAGTATATTTAATTTTACCACGGATACAAAAGATTCAGAAACTCACCATGTCTGTGTCTGAAACAGGTCCAAAACTGGTGACATATATGTTGGTGAAGACTTCAGTAATACTATCTAATATAAAAAGAAAAAACAATTCAATCACTTTTAATCTATAGTAATTCAAACTCTCTATACAAAATTTTCAGACATTTTGAGAAAGTTTCTGTCCTTATTTTCTTCTTTTAGCCAGTATCTTGTGACAAACACTGGGGGTCTCTACCCCATGAAGTTATACTGCAGTTACAAAGAGGTTATAAGAGAAGAATTCGTACACCAGAGCAGTATATTTCAATGAAATTGAAATATAAGCTATCAGAAACCACACACATTTCTCATTTTTCTAGCAGCAAAAGTAACTACACTGTCTTGGACTTAAGAAGGTAGTACAGTTCTAAACAAAGCGCCTTTGTTGCAAAGGTATTATCTCTCTCGTTGCATATCATTCATATTAAAGTCTTCCTGATTCAAAGTTGTTTTCTTCGTCCTGAACAGTCTTTTCAAAGCTAAAGTGTAAAACTCAGCAGTGTCCTACATTTTAATTGGGTACATGTTTAACTGGTATGTTTTAACATAATAATTATTTCCCTTGATACATTATGCTCCTCAGACATTGTTATGATGCTCTAAATACTATAAATAAATAAGTGTGCTTCCCAATCATTGGAGCCAGACAGCCATGAAATCAAAATATTAAATATTGTACTGCAGGGAAAAAATAATTGCTGAGCTTTCTGTCTTCAGTTTTCAATTAGACTCAAAATTGAATGGTATTCACTAAGAGGGACAGCACACACTTGCAGGAAGTTTCTCACAGCCATTGCCAGCTACTGTCTGTATTCAAGAGGGTCAAGACAAGAAATTCTCTGCCTTAAAGCCAGTTACTAGTTGGATAAGGAATATTCAAATTCATTTGGACTTTGACAAATTCGCAAATGAGAATTTCCCATTCCTAAAAACAATGTAGCTGCCTATTATCTGATCTTGCTATTTTTTCTTTTCCTTCCCCAAATAACCTATCTTGCAGGATCCCTTCTGCTTTTTAAGCATATAAATAAAGACTGACTCTTACCGTGTATAATTCACACACTCTGAAAGTTCAAAATGCACAATTCTCCTTCACACCTGCAAGATGCCTACTTGTGTGACGGAGACCTCAGTAACACCATACATGGCATCCATACAGAAACTGAGTTGATTTCTACTCCAAAAAACTTAAAAAATAATTTGAAGTCAATGAACAACAGGAAGTGCTGGGTCTGCACTGTTTTTAATATTCAACAAGGATAAGGAAAATATCTGAAATATAATAGCAAAACCACAGGTTTAGTTCAGAAGACTAGTGACCATATGATGCCAGTGGGACAGTCTCCAGAAAAAGGATCATTCTCTCCAAATGGTTACTTGGCACAGGCAGACAAAATAGAAAAGTGACAAGATAAACTACTCTTCAGGGGGTAAACCAGTGCTGCAGACACTAGCTGTGAAATTTGGCCTGTACTGTAATGACAACACTATCCTAATTACAGTTCCACGAAAAACACTTATGTTACAAATATATCATCAACAATCAAGTATCCCAGCAGTAAATAACCAAAACTAAATTCAATTACGCTCATAAAGTAGTAAGGAACTTTACCAAAGGCTTTAAATGCATTTGGCAAATCTGAATCTGCCTCCCTCCCTGAAAAAGAGTTATGGCTGGAAGCATGGTCCTCTCGCAATCCTGCTCTAATGCAAGATGTTGTTGCTTGCATCTGGCATATTATGTCTTTACAATTGGTATATAGTATATTAAAGGACATAGGATCTTCATGTTGGCCCTGCATTTTAAGTTTTAATTAAAAAACAATAAAACACCAACATTCCATATTCTCACACATAACACACATTACTTCTAAACACTTCTGGATCGATCCTCCCATCAGAATTAGGCAAAGACAACAGAGTTAAGAACAAACAAATTGACTGCAGTTGTTGAATTGCTATTACAACAGCCTGCAGACTCCTCTCGTTGGTATGCATTAACCACTTTAAATCAGGGATCTTAACTATCTTTGGATTCAAGGACGTATGACTGGGAGAGTGGAAGAGAAATGGATTGGGGGAAAGAGGAGACATTATCCAGAGATTCTTAGTTATAAGAACTTCATTTGGAGTTATCATAATTAAGATAAGCACTTCAATGCATATAAAAAGAACTGGGGCAAATTCATCCATGATAGCCTCATAAATTAGAATTAATGCAAATTAATCATAGCCGTTTTTCCTTTCCCCAATAACTGCCTTAAGTCAGCATAGCTCCAGGTAGTGGTGACAGCAATAAGTTCTAGTGCAACCAAACGTTCTCCCCTGAAGTGAGTATTTATCCTAACTGCAGGTACTTCACCAGGCCACCTTCTGTCAGGGGCAAGAGAAGCTGAGAAATTAGAACAGGTGGGAAGATGGAAAACAAAGTATATAAAGAAAACAGAATAAAGGAAGGCACAAGAAAAGAAAGGACTAAAGAACAGAAAAGAACTGGCTGATTTTTATTTCTTCCTTTTCTCTCTCTTCAGATTCTGCATATTTCATGTTTCTATTCATATCTTCCACATACAAGGAAACTGTTTCTTAAAGATGGAATAAACAGAAGTATAACTATTAATGAATAACTCCATTTATGATCTGTTAATATTAGCAATCTGAGCCTTGTTTCTTCATTGTTAGTTTCCTTACTGTTACAATAGATTCATTTGAATTATAAACACAAGCTCATTGTTTCATAATCATTCTCTTTGAAGAAAAAAGTGAATCCTTTTCTGCAACAGATATTCTAGATTTCACTTTGAAAAAAAATGAAGTCTGTACTAAAGCATACCATTTGTCACATCAGTAACTTACTGAAAATAATTCCCAGAAAGAAAGCACTGTTTCAAAAGAACTTAAGGTTGAGAATTCATCCAGTAGGCAACACAGCTACAGGCTTTTTATAACTCCTATTCTGTTAAGAACAATTAAAGTCATCACAGTCCCTAGTGATCAAACAGTTCTGGATCAAGATTATTTCTACAAAAGTCAAAGGAATGTACTAAGCTAACAATCATTCAGTGCAACATGCATTTGTGAACAAGTCTATTTTTGCGAGAAAAATTAAGGACAAGCTCTGTTCACAATAATTTTTTTCTTTAATCGATATGTTAACACATCAGTAAAAGCTTGGTTTCCAAGAGCTTGTAAATCGATGGAACCTTAGTGCTTTTGAAAAACAGCCCAGCTTTTGAAGACAAACTTTTTTCGGAAGAAGGGGTGGATAACTCATTTATACTTGTGATCTCTTAAGTTACTCTGAATTGTTTCCTTTGAAGGCTAAACAAAGAACAAGGAACAGGATTGGGTAAGAACAGAGTTTTCACATCTGATTTTTCCATTAAGGAAAAAACTATCAGAATAAGACATATAGATACTTTTGTCACATGGAGTGCTCTGAAATTCAGAAAATATAGCTTGGCTACAGTACGGATGTTTTTACCAAAGGTAAAAGGTTATAACTGTTGAAGGAGAAATATAGCTTAGTTTAGGCCAGTTTCTCAGAAGATAAGAGCCAAAAATAAGCAAGCTGTTTCAGATGGTTCTCAAGAACTGTTTTTGGCTGATTCTCTTTACTTACTTGATCTGTCACGCTACCAATATTAAAACAAATGAAAGAATAAGAAAAGTATTAAATACACCAAACTACAGATTTATAGATCCTTGTCTCCATTTAGCTAGTAGGTTTGTGTGTTTGAATGACATTTAGTATTTTATAAATATTGAATTATCATAACCTCTCTCTGAAGATGGTAATTCTATTCTCTGCATTTTCTATATTCACTTTGGAAATTGAAGCAGAAAGATTAAGCAATGCATAAATAATACGACATAGAGGATTTTACCAAATCTGAAGTCAGTTGGTCCACATTAAATATCCACACTGGAAAACACCAGCATCATTGACTTGTCAAAAATTCAGAGCTTAGCTGGAGTTGGTATCAGTACCTTTGTCCACTCCACTTTGCCAGATCTCCATCTGTTGGGATACCCTTTCTCATGGAATGATTTGTTACTCAGCAGATGAACTGAAGTAGACCACCTGGCATCAAATTTGCCATGGTTATATGGAGATAGTCAGAAAAGTCATATGAAAAGATTCCTCATCAGCATTTACTGATCTCTAAAAATTAGAAGTTTCCACAGAGGCAAATCTGTTATGAATTAGTTCCTTTGGAGCACCACTTACCAGGCAATTTTCAAAACTTTTCTGCTTTCTTCCCAATGTTCCCTCTCAGCTTGCTTTCATCACAGATAAACAGTGTGATGAGGGGTAGTTATTTAGGATTAGATAGACCTCAGCTTTCCCATTCATGAAGAACTCTAAAGACAGAATTACTTTTCTTGAAACAAGTTTTCTAAATATTTCTCACATTTGGGAATAATCTGTGCTTTTCTCATTCGTATTCTCTTAGACACCAAAATAATTTTCCACAGGATCAAAATATGTTTAAAATATCAGAGTGTGTTCATCTTGAAGCCTTCAAACTGAATCATCAGCAACGTCCCAGTGTTCCTTCGCAAGAAATTGCATTATCTATTAATACGTAGAATTTATCTTCACAGGAAAGCAGGCTAGTAGATTCAGCTGGAATTTTTTATGTATTCAAACTTTTAGTCAGTAGAACTAAAACCTTAAGTCCAAGGTTTGGACAGCTAAAATAAAAGCCAAACTCCTCGTAGTAATCAAAAATTATCAAAAGTACTTTTTGGTGGGACTCATCTTTTATAATGCGCATATGCAGTTCTAATGCATAGCATGAAAACATTTCTCTCTTTAAAACATTATTTTAAATTTAGAATAAGTAATACCCAGGAGAACACTGAAAGACTGTAATTGAAGGGCTGCTATAGCATGTGAAATGAAACAGTTCTTTAATTATGTCGACAAAAAAAAAAAAAAAAAAAAAAGAGGTCAAGTTGGAGTGCTATGGGAACCTTAACTGAGGATTTCTGAGTTTTTGTGGAAATGCTGCCAAAAGGTTGATATTACTTTAATTATTTTG